TGTCAAAAAAGCGGACTTATCTGTAAGATTTTAGGGTAGCCTTAATGTATAATTCTGATCCAAAGAGTTGTTTTACGCAACTCATTTCTTTCCCGTGCATTCTTCTGATTACTTCTTATTCCATATCCGAAGTGCTTTCATATCATCACTTTTACCCCAATATTGCTGCCTTTCGTCTTCGCTACCTTTTTCAAATACATCGATCTCGTTCCATGGATTCTCGTCTGCCATGTTGGCGATCATACTTGACATCTGTGGGGGCCGGTGTAGCCGTGAGTTGATGTTGAGTCCCCCCTCTTCGCATATCATCCAGCTTCATGGCACCAGATGAGAAGTTAATACACTTAATTCTAAGCGAGCCTATAATATTTAGTTCAGTGCGCAGGCGCAGTTCCGTGTATCGACTGGCTTGTTGGCCAGGAAGATTTTTACAAGGATTGATTTTCATATTGTTTCCTTTCGGATGGTGATTTTTTGATGGTAAAATACTAAATATTGTATACTGTTATCTTTGTATAATCCCGTAGCAAAGAAAAATTTTTCTTCTGCTAGAGATATGCAAACGGGGTCATTTGATGTACGTTCGTGAGATACTCATTTTTCACGTTGAGGGCTTTTTTTTACTAAGCTACGGAAGGTACAGGCTGAAGGGTCGGTACTCAGTTTTTCTGCATCTTTACGAGGCGCTTAATCGTGATTTCCGTGTCATATAACCTAACTCTATGCAATATTAATACGAATCCTATGGTTCAGCGCGTTTCAGAGGACAACTAAAATAACCCTACCCGTGTTGAAATACTGTATCTTAGTTAGTCCTGGTATCGTATCCTGGTTAGTATGTCAACCCCAGTGAAATTTTCTTTTTTCTCGAAATAGCGTTTTTGAAGCATACCAAAATACAGAGTGTCCCAAAAAATGTGAACACTGTTTGATTATTAATGACTCTCTTACTTTCATGTTTTTCGCCGAACTTTAGGCACAATTTTGTAAAGCGAGGGTCAAAGATAATTTTGCAGTATGGAGAGCGAATCATCATTCTTACTTCATTGTAGAATTACTTTGGGAACTGAAAGCTATTTGAGCCTTAATCGGAAATCAAACGAACCAGAAACTCTCGTATCGAACTAACCAAAGTCGCTGATTTTGAAAACTAGCACTTCACTGTAAGGGGCCGGGCATACTTCACGCGAATTTAGTCGCGACGCGATTTGGCAATATCCCAACTGCCCATAACTCATTCTATGCACATTTCAAATGTACAGAATAGATAGGCATTTTGTTAAACCACTTAAGTTGTACACACTATGCATGTACGGTTGCTAGTCTTAGATCTGAAGACTTCTGGCAAACTTTCAGATCTCGTCGCGTCTGAAATCGCGTGAAGTATGCCCGGCCCTCAATGCTTCTTTCATGAGTTATTTCAGGTTTAGGATAACAACTGTTTTTCCGATGTTCGTCAAAAGTGTGATTACAACATTAAGAAAGTCCAAAAAACTGGTAAAAATATCTTAATGAAATCAGCACGCCCGAAAACATTGCTGCACAAATTTTCAAATGTTTTAGAATTTTTTTTCAACAGAAGCCTATTCCTTAGTGTCGCTGTGTGCTGAAAGTTCATACCGTAACCCTAC